GCAAAATCCAACAGTGAGGTACCTCCTCCGTTCCTATCCCCAAAGCCGAAGCCACCATGCACCCCGCCATATCCATCAGCAGACGATTCTATATGCCCATTGAAATCCCCTCCTATGAATAACTTCTCCGCAAGCGGCACGCCACGCACCATCTCGTCCAGCCCCTCCCAGAAGCTTCTTTTAACCTCCTCATCTAAGCCCGTTTGCGGCGCATATGCGCTAATAACATTCAGAGTGATCCCACCAACTACTAACTTAATCGCCATTAATCTATCGTTCACCCTCATGACCTCTACCACTGACTCTTTGAGTTCCCTATCCACCAAAATACCCACTCCAATCTTACCCTTCCTGCCTCCCGAGTACCATAGTTTATACTCGTCCGCATTCCTCGCCCTCGACCCTACCCACCTAGTCTCCTGAACACAAGCTATATTGATCTTCCTCTTCTGGAGAATCTTCGCCAGCTCTATAGACTTACCCGTCAATGTCCCTATGTTCCACGATCCAATTCTCAACCTATAGGCTCCCTTGGTCTCCTTACCCCCTTTTGGCCCCGTCACTTCCCCTATCTCCTGCCTTCTCCCCCGCCCACCCCGAGGACATGTCCTTACTCCACCATTACAGACCCCAGCCACTGAACGAATGGTAACCTAGGGAAAACGCTAACACAAACAGCAACGGTCCAACTCTAAGCAAAAAGTAGTATCTACTGGCGCTCTACTAGAATGACTAAACTAGAACGTACCAATACGGCAACAGTATACGAGTATAACTAACACGAGAGGAATAGTCTAACTAACACAAGAGGAGGGCAAATAAAGAGCGGGAGGTACCAACTCCCGAGAATAGAACCTGGAGTGCCGACTTGACGTACACCCGAGACTGCGGAGTCCCTTAGTAAATCTCGCCGACCTGCTCATCTACGTTTGCGCGTGCGTCCCGCCCGTCTCCAAGTATCGCAACAAAACAACCTGAAAAACACTCAAACACCACGGGCCAACAAGAATGGGGGGAGGGGTGGCAGGGCAGTCACTGTACTGATGTGACATAGGGAGTCTGGGGTGGTCTGCCTTGGAGGCGCCGGACCGGACTACTGTCACCGGTCTGCAGTCGCCGGAGAAGAAGAAGATGCAGAAGCTAGGGTTCTGACTCTAAGGAAATAGAAGAAACAGGGGAGAAGGAGAGAAGGATAGGGGGAGAAGAGAGAATATAGAGAGAGAAGGGGGCTAGGACTGGAAAAAGAGAAGAAAAGAGAGTGGTCGGCGGCGGCACAGTCGCCGGAAATGCCACTGCTAGGGCTTTGAGAAGAAGACGAAGAGAAGAAAAAAGAAAAAAAGGGGACGAAGAGGTGGTCGGGGAGAGAAGGGAAAAAGAAAAAGAGGAGAGAGGGTGCTTACCTGGCCACTGGTTGTCGTCAGCGCCGGAAATGGATTCAAAAGCCATATCTCCAATTTGCATCACAGACCATGTCGGAAAATTACAGAGGCTATTTTAGCATCAATCATGACTTCAGACTAAATTAATGTACGTTTAAGTGAAAGTGCAATAAGAATCACTATTTGTTTACTAAAGTAGGATCACTATGGCTCTCCTAAGTGTAAACAGACAAGGGGAGAAGCTATCAACAGATATAGCAGACGTTAGAGGAAGTGAACTATTTGTGCATGGGGTTCGTAGTGCCAATTGTAGATATTATGGAGCATTCAAAACACCATATATTAGTTTTGGAGGGAGCTAGAGTGGGAGAAGAGTCCATGGGACTTAAAGTACATTTGTGACTTATAATTGTAGCAGTTTGATGCCTCTATTAATTGGTGAAATTCATCTTATGATATATTTAATTTTCTATAGCATGCATAATTATAGGTGATAGCATGCAGCAATTGTTGTGTCTCTAGTTGATAGCCTTAGGGTGGAGCGACATGCTTTTCTCAAGTGGCATTAATTAGGAGATCATGGGAAACTAATTCATTGAGCAGAACTCTTGGTGCTGTATAACTAATAAAAGAAAAAAAGACTGAATACATCACAAGATGTAGTAATATCTCAACAGACCAAGGGAAATGACAATTGAAACTTAAATACTACTGTATCATAAAATAGAATTTTATATTTCGCTTATTCCAACCAAAATTCCAATTATATTTGACGAAAAGCCCAGTTATTAACCCCTTGATATCATATTTAGAAAAGACTATGTTCCAACAATAATATCAATAACTCAGCAAGAGAGTAGAAAACTAGACAGACAACTTCCGGCTCACTCCAGACCAAAAGGTGATATCAATAATCCCACTAGTGGGGTCTGGGGAGGGTAGTGTGTACGCAGACCTTACCCCTACCATGAGATAGAGAGGCTGTTTCCAATAGACCCTCGGCATCCTTCCCTCCAAGAACTCCCCACTTTGCTCTTGGGGTGACTCGAACTCATAACCTCTTGGTTGGAAGTGGAGGTTGCTTACCATCAGAGCAACCCCTCTTGTGATAGACAGTTGCTCAAAAATAAAATAATGGCTGACGTAAAGGATAGGTTCACAAACCTTCTTAAAGAACAGGGGTGCCTGCTTTGCAACTTGCCGGGTCAAAGGAATGCATTCTACCAAACAATGGCGCCTTTGCTGGGCCAAACCCATCACAGTTTCAAGAAACACAAGATCCTTCTCCTGCTTTGCAAACATCATAACAAGGCATTTCTTGAAGTTCCGAATCTCCTCCCAGACATTATCATCTAAAGATCGTGTAGCTGATTCATGCTGTTCAGAGAAGGCAGGGGTCATTTACAACAAAAGCAGCAGAGAGAGCCATATGACAAAACTGCACAGCAATAATGTTCAGAAGTATCTAAAGAACAACATATACTTTCTAGTGACAAAAATAACTTCCATGAAAAAAGGTAGACAAATCGGGAGTTCAGCGCTGCTTATAGGACATCCTAGCCCTGGAGAACTAGCACATTAAAGACATCCTGGCCTACAAGAATGAACACAAAAGATAAAAATATAGATATATCATCAGAGAAGAATCAAAGTTACCTGTATAGTCAAGATGCAGCAATGACCAGGAACAATTGGCTGCCACATTGGCAATGATAAGTAAGTGAAATTAGCGATGGTAACCACCAGGTGCTTTGGTCTTGTTGGATTCTCAAAGCAAAATTGGCATCTCTCCTGCTGAGTCAAAATGTGCCTTGCATGATTACTTATGGCAGCTAATTTATGATTCTCCACACCCGCTTTCTTCTGGATCTTTCTCCTTGGCTCATCATCATAATCATATTCATCAGCCTGACAATATGCACTGTACTGTTTGTTTTGCACTATCTTCTGAGCAAGATGCACATCAGCATCCTCGCTTTTCTTCTTTTGCCAAGCAGATAGAGCATGCATAACATATCTAGACAAAGCAAAAGAGCCATAAATTTAACATGCTGGCGAGCATTGAGACAAGAACATCCAATTCAAGGCAAGCTTAATTTACAAATTCAGTTTCAAATTTACCTTGTGCTCCTATCAATCGGTTGTCTGCTTGACACATCATCAGCATTTTGCTTCATTTTCGCAGCCTCTTCTTCGTTCTGGATAAAGAAACAGAAACTCTAAGTTTGATATGGTTGTGGAAGCTCAAGCAATCATTCTCAAGACTAAGCCTCATTAAGTCTTCTATAACGTTCTAAAAAAACAACCAAAAGAAAAAGGTCATCTTTCCGTAGTTTACTTAGCTTAGAAGTCAACTGCCAACAGAGATAACTTCTTTAATTTGTCATCAATTCCAGTAAGCAGCAAAGAAAGCAAGAAGTTAAGGTCTGATCAATGCCATAAATTTCAAAAGAATATATACTAGCCAAGAATAAGATCTAGAGAACATGAAATATTTTGGCACCTACAATCAAGTTGATAAAACAGATAACACTTTACAGATAAGACTATGCTTTTGACTATCAAAAGAAAATGGAATATATTGCTTACCAAAAGTTTGTATGCTTCGTCATGCAACCCTTTCATGCGAAGCTGCAGCACTTTTGCAGCTAACTTATTTGAAGTCAAAGCTGGTTTGATGGTTGTTGCATCTTCACTTGCATTCTTGGACACTGGTGGATCTGGTTTTGATTGCAAGATTCCTTCTAACTTTGACTTGGAAGAATCATTAACATTGCTCGAGTCCTTCTTTTGATGCATAAATTCCCGCATCAAACTTCCATCACTGGAAAATGTATTCGCAATAGTTGGTCCAGCAGCGGTGAGCCCAATATCCATGCTCGATTTATTTTGAACTTTCCCTTTACCCCATGACGAGGAATCTTCAAGCTTAGGCATTTGCATTTTAAAATGGCAAGGGGATGAGTCCTGCAAGCACTTTTTTTGTGAGACTTCTAAGACTAGTGAAATAGACCACATAGCCATTGAAAAATTACTTTTCCTTTTGAATTCAAAAAAGAACAACTCAAGTAATAAAAATCAGTTTCATAGATATCAGACTACTCGGATCACATTAAAACAATATACAAACAGTAATGATGGAACTCATTAACTTGTCTTTTGGTGACAATAGAAAACACTAGGTGAATGCTAGTGGGAAATTTTCTTTAATTTGTTCAAGTAGCGAAATACTTATTAAGTAGCGAAAGTACCTTTGGTGGAGGGGGTTCAATCGAATCCCCATCAACGGAAAATTGCGCTGTGCAAAAAGGGTTAAAACAATTTTTTTTATATGTATATAAACTATTGAATCCCCTTGACATAGGTTCATATATCAGGTGTAACATTTTTGCATTTTTGGGAATCTTTTTACTCAAATTCCTGGCTGTACTAAATGATAGTGCAGGAGTAATACGCAAAGAGCATTTTTTGATAATGAAGAAGTTTAATTAATATTCAATAGATATTATTCATTACCTACGTACACATGTCTTGTGTTGAGAATTAACAAAGAAATTAATAGCAATCTAACAAAAAAGGCTATACGCACAAATAGAAACTAAACTATGCAGAACAAATCACCAGAGGCAAGAAGCTACAATAGACAACCCAATAAACTACAGCAGAATTAAGCACAAAATAGCATACACAGAATATAGCTCGCACAAAATAGATAATTGTAGCAGAAATTTAGCCAAAACGCAAGGAAATAAAGCGATGAGAAACGGAGAAAGACAAAATCAAACCTCGGGCCTGGATATGTGACAGAGCGGGCGATGGAGATTGATCGATCAAAAACCCTAAAGCATTAAGGCATTTTTGGGACTCGCTCAGGCTCGCCCTCGGTGCCCTGCAAAATGCTCTGGGCTCATTTATGGGGTTTAGTTGTGTGAGGGCTTAGTTATGTGAGGGCTTGCGCACAAGCGTTCAATCGTGCGCCCTAAACACGCCTAACGCTTAGCGTTCGGGGCCCGCTTAACAGTTCTAACACAAATCACATGTCAAATTTCCTAATTAATATCGTTGACCTTTAAAATTCTTTAACAAATTAATGATAAAAGCTCTATTCATCGATAGAAATATGAAGATTAAGCATAACTCTAATAATGAGATATAGTATTGCGAATTTATATCTTCACTTGTTATTGGTGGTGTCTTAGTTCATTTGTCCCTCCTTGTTATACACTTTTATTAATTTGATATCTTAAACTAATTTGTATTTATTCATAAAGGAGTAATATTTTAATTATCGTACTAATAAGACTTTATTAATTATTTACTTTTAGGAAGGTAAAATGTGGAGTTTGATCTTTTTTTTAAAAGAAATTATAAGTTTTAAATTATTTGAAATTTAAAGACGTTATACGTGATTTATATGCATTAGTTATACTTAAGAATCATGCTAGATATTTTTTTCTATGAGTTTCTTTAATTTTCTTTTAATTTTTAACTTTTAATTTATATTTTATATTTTTTTTGTTAATATGTTATTTTATTAATTTACAAATTAAAATTTTTAAAGATCCATGGGGCTTACGTCCCCCCCTCCAGACTTACGCCTCCCCATATCAAGTAAAACGCCCCACCTCAAGCTCATGCCTTTTAAAACATTGCTTGTAAGTAGTGTATAATAGATTGTTTGACTAGTATTTTGTGGAGATGAAACACATATTATATATATATATANCTCGTTGAGGCATATGTAAAAAGCCTCGCCTTACGCCCCACGCCTTTTAAAACACTGATATATAGTCGACCTCTTTCCGATTCCCAAAAGGTTTTAATGTTTACCAATTAACATATAGCATTTCCTAAATCCCAACTTTTCTATTTTAGGAACGTTTATTGTCTGAAACTATATGATGACATGATTTGTTATTTTGTTTGGGTTTTCCACCTAGAGTCTCGTATTTGCAAACAGCTTGTTTGGATGGTTGTTTTGAATGTTTGATAATGTATATTATAGTATTGTATTGTTTTGTAGTTGATGTATATAATGTTTGGATGAATTATCTTATTTGACGTCATTTTATTATGTCATACGCCAATAATATGAATAAGAATAAACTCGCAGTATAAAGAAAAAGTAAGGTACGAGGTAATATTATCATATAAAAAGTTAAGGTTAAAAATAAAATGAGATTATTTAATAATAAAAAAGGGCAAGATGAGAGAAGAAATAAGATAACAATGCGAACACACAAAATCGGCCGTTTCATAAGGTGACACTTTTCGTCATTACGTAACAACAAATTTAGTGATACGATACAATAAAATTTAAGTAAAAAATCAAAACAAACATTGTATTTAAAATAACAATATGATACAATACAACATGTAACAACCATCCAAACAAGCTGGGCTTTGATAAAAAAGCTTAATATTTTTTTTTTTTGAATTTTTCACCTGAAGTCTTTGGGCTCCTATTAATTCAGACTTGTATCAGAAAGTTCTATTTTGGTAGATCAAATGCTTCATACCAAAGGTGATTACATTTTGATGGCTCAAATCTGAAAAGTCTCATAAAGTTTAGAGGGGTATTTTATCATTTCACCATAATTTTCTGTGATCTACCCTTGTCGAAAAACGCTTAACTTTGAATCTGATTTAATTTAGTGTGTTAGTGCTGATTTTGTCGCATCTAATATTTCTTTTAAGTGTTACCTTAGATTATTCATTTTCGGAAGAATCTATCAAGAAACATACTCATATTTATTAATAGGAGCAAGTCATTTTGATTCTACCATATGGTTGGTTCTATAAGTATAGTTACCTTATGTATGCAATTTATCTTTTCTCATAAGCAGAATTTGAATATGTTATGCAAGAATTTATGTAATTTTGTACGTGTTACAAAACATAAATAAAAATATATGCATTAATAATACGTAGATTAAAATAACAAAAAAAGTTAGACAAAACAAAAAGGTTTTAAAATAGAATCAGTCCGTTTCGGAGCAGAAGAGCCGTTTTCAAGTACAGTCGTCGCTACTGGACGGCGAAATGGATTTTGGAAGTGGACTCTAGGGGTCCTACTAATTGAGTTAAGGAAGCAAACTGTATCAATCTCAATTGCTNATCAACAAAGGAGTTTTGACTTGTGAGCTTAGTGGAAATAAAATTCAACATGAAGGCATTTGTTATTTTATTTATTAGCTGCTATAGCTTCTTGTCTCGACTATGTAACTGCACGAGTCTTTTGACCTAGAACTAAATAGCCACGTATAAAGTTCTTCTTTTCTCAAAATAAAAAACAATTCGGAGCTTGTGTGGTTCTATTACCTTCTAGCTGGAGTGCTTCTGTTAATTTCTCTTGGTTCTCTATGTTATGTTCTACGCTTATTTTATTTTTTCTTCTGTTTTTTATTTTTGTATTTTCTTGTATTATCCTTTATAATGTGCTTCTGAATCTATGTCAATGTAGATTTTCAGGCAAGCACACAAAATTATCGATGGCTATTCACCGATCTGTTGGTGGAAGTCAAACAATAATGGAGTATATGTTTCTTGGCCTTACCTTTAATTTCTCACATTTTCATCTTGGTATATCAAGTTTAGCTATATGACACAGTTGTTGATATAAAGGCGTTTGACGATTTATTTAGTTGGCATGTTATGATTTCTATCAGCAAACTGACAAAAGGGTTTTAAATATGTTTCTTTGATTAATCTTTCTTATCTTTTTCTTTGTCAAATCCTCCTAATAACTTTTCAACATGATTGCATTGACTTGCTTCATTTTGATCTTCACATTCACTCTATCTGACAATTTGATGTAGCGCATTCGACTTGTCTTTTTAATCGATAATGGAATCAAATTAAGTATGCATAAATCTATTGTTTTGTTAAGTTATGGTTATTGAACTATCATTGAATTCTTTTCAATAGAAGACACAAATAGTTTGCTAAATTTGGCTGAATATGAATTGTTACTTTTATCTTTTTAGTTTACTAGCTTTTGAGGTTGGACAAAACCAAAACAATAGTCCTTATGTGATAGTGCATGTTAGCAATCTTTGTTGAGTCAAATTACAAAGACACAATGTTGCTATATATTTTGAATTCTTCGGGTCTATTACACCTTCCAGTTACAGGTTTTACTAATATCTCCAACTAATTCAAATATTTTATCCTTTTAAATTGTCAATCTAGCCATAATCGTACTGATAAAAAAAGTTGGGAGGCAAGTGGTAGTACTATTAATGTAAATTATTATTTGATAGAGCCTCTATAAAATAAGAGTGTCACGACCCAAAATCTCACCAAGTCGTGATGGCACCTAACCTATACCGAGCGTCTGAATCCTATCAAATCAACTCCGTTTTGCACCAAATTTTGCAGACAAGTCTTAAATAGTAAAATGAACTTATAACAAGTTCCGAAATCGAAATCCAAACCCGGTAGCAATAAAGTCAATCTACGGTCAAACTTCAGAATTCTTTAAACCTTCAAATTACTAGTTTTCAACAAATCACGTTAAATCAAGTTAGGGACTTTCGAATTCAATTTCGGACATACGCCTAAGTCCAAAATCGTGATACGGACACACCGGGATTTTCAAAATACCGATGCGGGGTCGTTTACACAAAATGTTGACCGTAGTCAACTCAAATTATTTTTAAGGCTAAAATTCATGTTTTCTTCAATCTTTCACATAAAAACTTTCTGAAAAAAGACACGGACTGTACACGCAAATCAAGAATCACTAAACGGAGCTAATCAAGGTCTCAGAATTCCGAAATAAAGGCTAAAATTTAAAATGACCTATCAAGTCATCCAATATCCAACTTCAAACAGGTTCTCAAAACCTCTATTTAGGTTCTTTTTAAAAGCTCAAGCTTCTAATATATTCTCCGAATCACTACTTGGGACTTAAATATTAGTTCAATAAATCAAATTCATTTGGGTGGTGACAATTAAATTTTTAAGGTAATTCACAATTGTTCAACAAACTTAAATAAGTAGATTTAGATTTTGAATTTAATTTTGTGAGAAATTTAAAGTGGGTAGTGCTTAGACTTGTTAAAAATAGTCTAAGGAGGTTGTATACAAAATTTAAAGTCATTTGATGGAGATTTGGAGTGGTTTTAAACAAGAATTACAACTAAAAATCATAAAAGAAGTTTGTCTATAGACGCTTATATGCTTTAATACAATGTTATACACTTTTATACAAGGTAGGTACACTATGTATATAGGTATATAAAAGTATATAAAGATGTATAATCACATTAGTAAAAAATATGTTGGCGATACACTGCGCATGTAGGTGTATAAGAAGAAGAAGAAAATGTGCGTAATCCACCAAAATACATGTAAATAATATATCAACCTTGTATATAATAGTATATAAGAGGTGTTTATACATCCCTATATACTATTATAAAATATTATATACTATTATACAAATGAATCCTAATAACTGAGAAATTTAACTTAAATCTAGCTTAAATCTACTCCAAATCGCTTAAATTTATGTTTTAAATTCTTCTCGATGTTTCGAATCAATTGGGACAACATCCAATCCAATAATCAACAAACTCGAAGAACTCAATTTATGAGATCGAATCTTCAAACAACCTTTAATGATGAACTTTTATTTTCAAGTTTTCAATCAACCATAATAAAGAGAAGCTCGACTTCAGCTTAAAAAGAACAAGGCTTAGATATTAAAACTTTAGATCTCATTTTTTTTTTTTAAATTTTGACTTTGACTCTTCGAAAATATCAAATAATGGAGGTTCAAGTTATCCTTTTAAACCTCTCAACCCACAAGCAGCGAATAAATCTCGGCTTTAAATATGGAAGGAGAAGTGAAGGAAAATAACAACGGAAGTATTTGGGGGTGCAAAGTCGTTGACATTGACGGAGAAGAAACAAGA